AAAAACCCGGCTTGTTGTGGAAACAAGGATTGGTGAGAAAGGTTCATTGGAGACACCTTTTTCCTCTATAATAAAGGTAAAGGTAAAGGTTTCCCCTTGATCTCAAGTCCAGTCACGTCCAACTCTGGGGGCTGGTGCTCATCTCCATTTCTAAGCCAAAGAGCTGGCACTCTCCATAGATACCTCCAAGATTATGCGGCCGGCATGACTGCATGGAGCACCGTTACCTTCCCACCAGAGCGGTACATATTGAAACCAGTCACATTTTGCATGTTTTCAAACTGCTGGTTTGGCAGAAGCTGGGGCTAACAGCGGGAGCTCACCCCACTCCCTGAATTTGAACTGGTGACCTTTCAGTCAGCAAATTCAGCAGCTCAGCAGTTTAACCCACTGCGCCACCAGGGGGTTTACAGGAGTGAATTTTTCTTCCTAGGGGTAGATTTCTGTCACTTCCTGTTGTCTCACCTCCATTCTTAACTAGGAGTCTTTGTACGGTGATTTGGATATTTGTGAATTGTACACTAATTTAGATGTTTGTGAAGTGTGGACTGCCTGTATAAACATAGCGATGTACCTCCTCTCTCTCCTCTCAGGTCTTGATGTAGCTCCTTTAAAACAGTGGTTTTTCTTACTCTGGTCCTCCAGACATTTGGGATTTCCATTCCCAGAATTTGCAAGCAGCAGTCATATTGTTTGGGATTTCTGGGAGCTTAAGCCCAAAATATCTGGAAATCTAGAGTCTGAGATCCACCATTTTTTTAAATATACACCCATACTTCTGTTTTGGAAGGAGAGGCACCTATAGTTATCCACCTATGGTGACCCCATAGGTGGAAAACACTGCCAGTTCGGTTTTTTCTAAAAACCAGATATTCCCACTGTGTAAATCTTGGTACATGTAAATACAATGCCAAATGAACACAATGTGTGCTTTGCGCCTTGCTTTCATCCTCTACTATTACCAGACTCTCAACAGGAATTAGTAGCTCTTATCTACTTTACAGCAGCAATTCACTAACGACTCTGCCAAAACTAACAGAACAATTCAAAAGCTTATACACCAAAGCAATTTCCAACTCAAACTGTATCTACACTACAGAAGTAATAGTCTGACACCACTGCCTCGGCTCAATGTTATAGAATCCTGGGATTTATAGTTTAATAAGACAACCTGGTGGAGAAAGCTAAAGATCACGTAGAATGACAACTCCCATAATTCTACAGCACCTTTTTTTCTGTTTCAGGAGCGACATGAGAAACTGCAAGTCGCTTCTAGTGTGAGAGAATTGGCTGTCTGCAAGGATGTTGCCCACGGGACACCTAGATGTTTTTGATGTTTTATCATCCTTGTGGGAGGTTTCTCTCATGTCCCTGCAAAGGGGAGCTGGAGCTGATAGAGGGAGCTCATCTGCACTCTCCCCGGATTCGAACCTGCAACCTGTTGGTCTTCAGTCTTAGCAGCACAAGGGTGTAACCCATTGCACCACCGGGGGCTCCTCCTACAGCAGTGTTTCTCAACCTGGGGTCGGGACCCCTGAGAGGGTGTCAAAGGGTTCGCCAAAGGCTATCAGAAAACATAGTATTTTCTGTTGGTCATTGGGATTCTGTGTGAGAAGTTTGACCCAAGTCCATCATTGGTGGAGTTCAGAATTGATTGATTGTAGGTGAACTATAAATCCCAACAACTACAACTCCCAAATGTCAAGGTCTATTTTCCCCAGACTCCATTAGTGTTCACATTTGGGCATATTGAGTATTTGTGCCAAGTTTGGTCCAGATCCATCATTGCATGAATCCACAGCACTCCTCTGGATATAAGTGAACTATAACTCCCAAACTCAAGGTCAATGCTCACCAAACCCTTCCAGTGTTTTCTGTTGGTCATGGGAGTTCTATGTGCCAAGTTTGGTTTAAATCCATCGCTGGTGGAGTTCATAATTCTCTTTGATTATAAGTGTACTATAAATCCCAGCAACTACAACTCCCAAATTACAAAATCAATCCTCCCCCCAGCCCCACTAGCATTCACATTTGGGCATATTGGGGTATGTGTGCTCAGTTTAGTCCAGTGAATGAAAATCCATCCTGCATATCGGATATTTACATTACGATTTATAACAGTAGTAAAATGACAGGTATCGAGTAGCAACGAAACAATATTATGATTGGGGGTCACCACAACATATGGAACTGCATTAAGGGGTCACGGCATTAGCAAGGTTGAGAACCACAGTCCTACAGCATTAAGACATTACAGTTAAAGTGGTGTCAAGATGCATTAATTCTACAGTGTAGATGCTCCTTGTGTAACATTTATACCAGTGTAAGAGCCATTCCTCCTGCCTCATTGAATTTGCAGTGACAAAACTGGTACCTCTCCAAAACTGGGCTCGAAAGGAAAGTGTAAATAAGGGCAGAATAGCTCTCATCATGCCAGTCAGCCAAAGAAAGCAATGCCAGCTGGGGACAATAGAGTCTGTAGTTCTGGTGCATGGATGCTGTTGTATCCCTTACAGTCATTCCCAACTTATGACAACTTTTAAAGTGAACCTATCATGGTAGAATTTGTTCCAAGGGGGATTTGCCATCCTCTGAGGCTGAGAGGACATGGCTTGGGAAAAGTCTGAGCATCTCAATGGGTTTCCATGCCTGGAAGGGGATTTGAACCTTGGTCTCCCAGTATTCTAGTCCAACGCTCATATCACTCCACTACAATGTACCCTCTGATATTTCACTGATGAACACCATGACAGAAATATCTAAGCAACATTGAGAAATATCTAAGCAACATTGTGGTGGAGTCAAGATAGCAAACGTTTTCAGTGAGGAAGAAGCCACAAGCTAGAAGATGCTGCAGCAGTGAAGTGATGGGAAGGGTGGCCATCAGATCCCCTTGGATACTGATTCCTTTGCTTACCAATCCAGCTATGACTTTTGAATCTCCCTCTTCATTTCCTTTCCTTCCCTCAGGGTTGAAATTTGTTGTTCATTTTGTTTAAAAAGTTGAGAAAAGTCTGAGCATCTCATAACAGGAGGAATCGGTCAAAGGGGACGGCAAACAGCAAATTAAAATGTATTGTCGAAGGCTTTCATGGCTGGAATCACTAGGTTCTTGTGGGTTTTTTCGGGCTATAGAGCCATGTTCTAGAGGCATTTCTCCTGACGTTTCGCCTGCATCTATGGCAAGCATCCTCAGAGGTAGCATCCTCGCCTGCATCTATGGCAAGCATCCTCACTACCTCTGAGGATGCTTGCCATAGATGCAGGCGAAACATCAGGAGAAATGCCTCTAGAACATGGCTCTATAGCCCGAAAAAACCCACAAGAACCTAGCAAATTAAAAGCTGCAATAGCTTTCTCTGAAATACTCCAGGAAATGCCAAAGAGATGTCTCTGAGTATAAAGGTGCCTCTTTACACCATAGAATGAATGTTATTTGACACCACGTTAACTGCGATGGCTCAGTGCTATGGCAACTTGGGGTTTATAGTTTGGTCAGACACCAGGACTCTTTGGCAGAGATGGCTAAAGACCTTATGATACTATAACCCCAAGAATTCCATAGCACTGAGCCACCAGTTCCAAGTACTGTCAAACTGCATTCATTCAACCCTTAGACAAGTATTTCTCAACCTCCTCCTCCTCCTCCTCCTCATCATCATCATCATCACTTTATTTCTTAATTAGTCGCTCTCCACCAAAGTGCTCCTGGGGGTTGGGACCCCTGGGGGGGTCATGAGTTGGGTTTCAGAGGGGTCGCCAAAGACCATCAGAAGACACATATTTCTGATAGTCTTAGGAACCCCTTTGGCAGAGAAGGCTGAAGATCTCTCTGCCTGTCTTTCTCTTCCTTTTTGGTGCTGGTGAACTACAACTCCCAGAATTCTTAAACAGCCCCCCCAACCCCACCAGTATTCAATATTGGCCATGTAGGTAGTGTGCCAAGTTTGGTGCAGATCAGTTGCGGACTGGGTTCAGAGTGCTCTTTGATTGTAGTTGAACTATAAATCCCAGCAACTACAATTCCCAAATGTTCAGGTCTATTTTCCCCCAAACTCCACCAGTGTTCACATCTGGACACACTGAGTATTCGTGCCAAGTTTGGTTCGGTTTGTTTGAGTCCACAGTTCTGTCTGGATGAAGGTGAACTACAACTCCAAAACTCAAGGTCAATGCCTACCAAACCTTTCCAGTATTTTCTGTTGGTCATGGGAGTTCTGTGTGCCAAGTTTGGTTCAGTTCCATTGTTAGTGGAGTTCAGAATGCTCTTTGATTATAGGTGAACTATAAATCCCAGCAACTACAACTCCCAAATGACAAAAATGGTGGAGGTGTGGTGGAGGCTCCTTCTTTGGAAGCTTTTAAACAGAGGCTGGATGGCCATCTGTCAGGGGTGATTTGAATGCAATGTTCCCGCTTCTTGGCAGGGGGTTGGACTGGATGGCCCATGAGGTCTCATCCAACTCTTTGATTCTATGATTCTATGATTCTATGAAAATCAATCCCTTCTCCAACCCTATATGCCAATTTTGGTCCAGTGGGTATATAATATATACCAATTTTGGTCCAGTGAAGGAAAATACATTTTGCATATCAGATATTTACATTGCGATTCGTAAGAGTAGCAAAATTACAGTTATGAAGTAGCAACGAAAATAATGTTATGGTTTTGGGTCACCACAACATGAGGAACTGTATTAAGGAGTCATGACATTAGGAAGGTTGAGAAACACTGCCTTAGACATACTACTGTTGTAACATTATGTTGGAAGAGTATGAGATTCCTTGGGCAAACTTGGGCTGTTAGGAATGGTGGGAGTTGAAGTCCAAAACACCTGGAGAGCTCAAGTTTGCCCCTGCCTGTTGTAGATCCAGAAATAGAGCATCTCTGGGGGAAAGCGTGGAGAGAGAAAGGAGAGCCAGGGATCTTTGGGGGAGGCAGGAAAGGATGGACTGGGAAAGCAGGAGGGAGGAGGGGGTGAAGGCAAGGAAGGACTTACAGGGTCCGGCGGAGCGTGGTTCGGGGAAGGCAGGAAGGCAGGCAGGCAGCTCGGCTGGGTCCCGGCTTCTTATTTCTCCCGAGGAGGACGATGACCTGGAGGATATATAGCAGGAAGGAGGAGAGGAGCCCCGCCTGCCCGACGCCCTTCGCGTTGCCTCTTTTGGAAACTCCGCCTCAGAGGACACGGCCCGGAGGACAACTCGCTCCTGGAAAGTGTTGCGCCACGGAATTTCCCGGCTGCGGTGCACAAAGGGAGTGAGGAGGGTCGCCCGCTTGCCCCTTTCCCAGCCCCCAAACCTTGAAAGCCCTCCTCCTCCAGGATTTTCTGAAAGCTAGTCCTGTTGAGAGTTTGAGTGCCAGGCTAAATGATGCATCTCAACTGCAGAGTCCATGCAGTTTGACACAGCGACTTTCACAGCCAGGCTATGGAATCCCAGGAGCTGGAGCTGGACAAGGGCCTCCTCCGCCTTCTCTGCCCAAGAGTGCCTCGCAAAACGATAACTCCCTGGATCCAGGCATGTAGCGCGCGGGGGGGGGGCTTCAGCCCCCTCCCTCGAAATTCTCATGGTGGTCCGCAAAAAGGCCTTACTGGTACATTATTTAAACTGTTATGTTATTAGGTTCTTGTGGGTTTTTTCGGGCTATATGAGACCCTGCTCGTGATCCCGCCCGCGTCACAAGCGCACTTGGTGGGGACACGAGACAGGGCCTTCTCTGTGGTGGCCCCCCGCCTCTGGAATGCCCTCCCGAAAGACCTCAGACAAGCCCCTACACTGGCAGTCTTCAGGAAGAATTTGAAAACTTGGCTGTTCCAATGTGCCTTCTCAGACTAGGAACCCCAGTACCAAATCCCAGAAGCACTTTAGTTAGAACCAAGATCACCGCACACCACACTTATACTATAATCCCATTTCCCTCCGACACATCAGCACTTTTAATCCTGTACCCCTACTCTAGCCGGCTCAGTTTTAATAATGTCTTGTTGTACTGCTTTTGTTATTGTTTTTGCTTAACTGTTTATTTGCTAGGTATTGTATTGTTGTATTGTTGTATTGTGTGGGCCTCGGCCCGTTGTAAGCCGCATCGAATCCCTTGGGAGATGCTAGCGGGGTACAAATAAAGTTATTATAATAATAATAATAATAATAATGGCCATGTTCTAGAGGCATTCTCTCCTGACGTTTCGCCTGCATCTATGGCCAGCATCCTCACTACCTCTGAGGATGCTTGCCATAGATGCAGGCGAAACGTCAGGAGAAAATGCCTCTAGAACATGGCCATATACCCGGAAAACCTCCAACAACCCAATACCAGCCAGGGATGTAGGGGGGGGGGGGGGCTTGAGGGGCTTCAGCCCCCCCCCCAAAAAAATTCTCATGGTGGTTCGCGAAAAGGCCTTACTGGTGCATTATTTAAACTGTTATGTTTATTCATATCATGATCTGATCACCATACTCAATATATCCCATATGCATTGGGGGTATTGGGGTAATGATACAAAAGGTTTGCTAGGGTAGACCCTCTTTCACTCAGACTCAGCCCCCCCCGAAACCCCCCTGAAAAAAATTCACCCCCCCCTCCCCAAAACGAAATCTTGGCTACGGGCCTGATTCCAGCCATGAAAGCCTTCGACAATACATTGTTATGTTATTCATATCATGATCTGATCCCCATGCTCAATATATCCCATATGCATGGGGGTATTGGGGTAACGATACAAAAGGTTTGCTAGGGTAGACCCTCTTTCACTCAGACTCAGCCCCCCCCCCCCGAAATCAAACTCAGCCCCCCCCCCAAACAAAATCCTGGCTACAGGCCTGCCTGGATCTCATAGCATTGAGCATTCAAGTGGTGTCAAATGGCATCAGTTCTGTCATAGAGATGCATCCAAAGTCTCTGGAGATCAGCATACTTTGGCAGAGAAGGTTAAAGAGCTTCTAACAACCTCTGAGGATACCTGCCATAGATGCAGGCGAAACGTCAGGAGAGAATGCTTCTGGAACATGGCCATACAGCCCAAAAACTCACAGCAACCCAATTGAAGCTCTTCTCAAGAAGATGATGATTTAAAAAACAAAGTACTACTACTACTACTACTACTCAGAGGTGGCCCAAGGTAATTTTCAATGGTAAGCAAACAGTATTCCCCTCCCCCCCCCCCCAACCAATCACTGATATATATTTTCTGTTCGTCGTGGGAGTTCTGTGTGCCATATTTGGTTGAACTCAACTGGAAATGGTTCTATGGCTGGTAATAATGTTTTAAATTGTTTTATTTGCTGTTTTAAATTGTTATAGCTGTTATAATTGTTTTGTACATTGTGGCATCAAATTGTTGCAGGTGTAAGCTGCTCTGAGTCCCCCCCTCAGGAGTTGAGAAGGGCAGGGTAGAAATGTTGAAAATAAATAAAATAACAATAAAAACACCAGGATGGCCACGGCTTTGACACCACCGCATCAGAGGAAATGCAAGAGATGCATCAAACTAAATAACAAAAAAAAATACTCGGGATTGTGGCGCAGCTGGCTGAGTGTCAGCTGCATTAAGATCACTCTGACAAAAGGTCATAAATCATAGAATCATAGAATCATAGACTCAAAGAGTTGGAAGAGACCTCATGGGCCATCCAGTCCAACCCCCTGACCAAAAGGTCATGAGTTCGAAGCCAGCCCGGGTTGGAGTGGGTTTCCAACCAATTGTGTGTAGCCTGTTGTCGACCTTTGCAACCCGAAAGACAGTTGCATCTGTCAAGTAGGAAAATAAGGTACCACCTTAAAGTGTGGGGAGGCTAAATTAACTGATTTATGAGGCCATAAAGAAGACTCCAGCAAAGCATTCCAGCGGGGAAGCATACGGGGAATGCGGAAGTGCTTCATCAGTGTCGCAGATGGACGATGAAAGTGACAGCTCCCCTGGTGGCCAGAAAAAGTTAAATAGCCTCTGTGTATGTCTGTATATGTTTGTATGTCAAAAATTGGCATTGAATGTTTGCCATATATGTGTACACTGTAATCCGCCCTGAGTCCCCTGCAGGGTGAGAAGGGCGGAATATAAAAGCTGTAAATAAATAAATACTCTCACAAAGAATATGCAAAGTTGTAAAGACCAGGAGAACATTGACCTATAATTCTTGAGACCAGGATTCAACTCCTCACTCAGCCATAGAAATCCACTGGGTGTCCTTCAGCGAATCACACACTCCCAGCCTCAGAAAATCCCATGTTACAGTCCCCTTAGGGTTGTGATGAATCGGATATGACTTGAAGGCACACACCAACATGCGTTTTGCTGCTCTGTTGAGTGTGCAGCTGATTGAACTACAGAGGATGTTTGATCCGACAGTTTGAATATTCCCTATCACGGAGTTTAAAGGAGTAAAAAACCATGACCTGACTCATAAATACTTCTAATGGTTCTGGGTGGCCACACACATATCAGACATTGCACTCTGCAACCTCAGCTCCTAGTGAAGATAAGAAAAGAAACACTGAAGGAGAGGAAACCACAGTGGCATCTGCAATATCCCTGCCATTCATTCCCTGGCTGGCAACACCACTTGGAACATATACAGCAGGATGTCACACCAAGCAGAAAACCCAGAGAGAGCAGAATAGCTCTTAAGCGGCTTGGACTTTGATGGTTTTGCAGCGATGGTTCTTCATATGGTTGCATGCATATAGTTGGAACATGGCATTATCCTGAGCTTCCTTCCTTCTGGCCGGAAACACCCACACTGGGTCTTCTATAAACGTCACATAATTCTTGAGAGGCATGTGATTTTCATGACTGGCCTCCCTCTTTCCTCTCTTTGGAATTCTTGCCTGCTCTTGCTTTGATGAGATTTCTCTTTCCTTGGCACTTTCTGGGAACAGGCCAGAAATGGACTTGCTAACTCACAGCAAAGTTCCTTCTGGTTTTATAAAAGCTCACAAAACACAAGCTGCAGTTGCAATTCTGAATTATGAGACCCTGTTCTCAATAGTTAAACTTTGGTCATCTGAACATATTGCCTTGGGTGTTTAAAATACTCAATAAATAAATACCCTACAGGCAACAGCAATCCCAAAAATTCATAGGGGTTTCTGAAGCAAGAAGTGGTTTTTCCTGTTCCTTCCTCTAAAGTAGGGGTTACTATTATTATTACTATGGCATTACTATCACAAGCTATTTAACCTCAGCAGACTGAAAGCCAAAACCAAGGTTACAACAACATCTGTTATAGAACTCTAATATGCTGATGATAACATCATCTGTGCGCTTTCAGAAGAAAACCTACAAGCCACTCTAAACACCTTCACAGAAGCATACAAGAAGCTCAGCCTGTCAGCCTGTCACTGAACATCGAGAAAACCAAAGTGCTTTTCCAGCAGCCACCAGCCAATCTCTCTCCAATGCCAGAAATACAGCTTAATGGTGTAATATTAGAAAATGTTGGCCATTTCCGCTACTTTGGCAGCCACCTCTCCACTAAAGTCAACATTGACACTGACATACAACACTGCCTGAGCTCTGCGAGTGCAGCATTTTTCTGAATGAAGCAGAAAGTGTTTGAGGACCAGGACATCTGCAGGGATACCAAGGTGCTTGTTTATAGAGCTATTGTCCTCCCAACCCTGCTGTATGCCTGCAAGACGTGGACTATCTACAGATGTCACATGTAACTCCTGGAATGATTCCATCAGCGCTGCCTCTGAAAAATCCTGCAAATCTCATGAGAAGACAGGCTGACAAATGTGAGCGTTCTGGAAGAAGCAAAGACCACCAGCACTGAAGTGATGGTCCTCCGTCATCAACTCCGCTGGACCAGCCATGTTGTCTGGATGCCCGACCACCATCTCCCAAAGCAGTTGCTCTACTCTGAACTCAAGAATGGAAAACAGAATGTTGGTGGGCAGAAAAAGAGATTTAAAGATGGGCTCAAAGCCAACCTTAAAAACTCTGGCATAGACACAGTGGGTTTTATGGATAAGCAGGGATTTGTACAATGCTCAAGCCACTATACTGCACTGGTTCATTTTATGGTTTTATGATTGTTCTTTGATTATGGTTATTACAAGATGTGCAATGTAATGGTGTCAGTTCTCCTCCTTTTCAAACAAAAGGCATCACATCAGACTAATCATGAGATCCTAACAGCTTCTGTAAAAAAATGCAAAATGTTTTTCATATAATGGTTTTAGTGGGTTGTGTTTTAAAGGCAAGTGGAGCTTTTTGAACTGTCCAGTGGAGTGTAGTTCTTTCCCATCTGGTGTACTATGAATACTTTAAGGTAT